CAAAGAAAAATGATTAGAAATTTACATTATTGATTTACATTATTATTAAATATATAAAAATAAACAATAAAAGTTCTGTATCATATACTACCGTTAATTCAATGCATTTATTCTTATAATTTTTACGAGCTTGTTTATACATATCCTTTTTTAATTCTTGAATATATTGTTGCATTGTTCTTTCCAATTCTTCTTGATTTCCTTTAATTATGTTTTGCTAAAAATATTTTTAAAAAATATACAAATTTATAAAAATATATCACAACTGGTTTAAAATAATTTAAATTAAATTTTACAATTATGTTAAAAATTTAATTCACAAATGTGAGATTATAAAATTTCAATTATACCTGACGAAGTAAAGCTTGTTCTCGACTTTTTGAATATTTCCATTCGTCGAGCATTTGAGAATAATTTATAGTATTCAACTTCTCTTCTATGTTCAAGTATTGTTGCTGTAAATTTTTCGTTTTGTCCTGAATTTTTCGCAGTGTAAGATTATCTGATAATTCTCTTTTTCGAACTTCTTGTCGAGTAACATTTTCCTTAAATTTATTAATCGTTATTTCTATATCACTTTTTTCCTTAATCAACTCATTAAGTAATTCTTCATAATCTTTTATTTTCTTTTCAGAGTTTTCTAAAGATTCAGGAACTTTATTGTATATAAATGTATCAATCTCATCTTGCATTTTTTGTAATTCAGATAAACGTCCAGCTGCTTCTGTTACAAATTTCCTATCAGATTCTTCTTTCTCCATATTATCTTTCTACAAGAAAAATATCATTACATATTTTTTATATTATAAATTTAATGAAAACATAGACATTCTTGCAAACATAGACATTCTTGCAAACATTCTTAAAAAATTTTAAAAATATTATGTATAAATAAAATAAAAATATAAATTGTTATATAAGAAAAATATACTTTTTGTTCTTCTAATTTCTCAATCTCTGAATTTAATTCCATTTCTACTGTTATTATTTCTGTTTTTAACATATTAATTGATTTTCCAAAAGAAATTTCTTTCATGTACAAAGTTTCTTGTTTTTCTTTTAATTCTTTTACTTTCTGCATATCTGATTGTATTTGTAATTGTTCCTCTTGTAATATATTCTGTTCCTGTCGAGCATTATTTAATTTTTCATTTTGCATATTTATTTTAAATTGTAATTCTTCAATAGCATCACGAATATTTTTTATAGAGATTTTCAACTCTTCTCTTTGACTTTGAGTTTCCTCAAGATTACGTGTGGTTTTAATGCCTACAAAAATAAATTTGTTTATAAAAATGATAAAAAATTAATTTCTTCTAATATACCTGCAGCAGTCATACGAATCTGCAAATTCTCAATTGTTTTTTCTAGTTTTAAAATGTCATCAATATATGTGTCCCATAATATAATATCACCTATAATGTCTTTGCATATTACTAATTTCTTTTCGGGATAAGATTTTTTTGTTTCCAATTCCATTACAGTTTCTCGAGATTTACTTAACTTATTTTTAGATTTCTCTAAATCATTCCTTTAAAAAATTATATAATTTTTATAGATTTTGTAATAAATAAATAAATATATATATATTTATATTATATTATTATATTATTTATTTATTTATTACAAAATCTATAAAAATCTATAATATATATAATATATATA